TTAAATTAAAAAATATTTACCAAACTAGTGTGTGGTTAAAAATATTTCCCACAGTAATGCTAGATTAACTCTAGTTAATAGTAGGCGCAGTGGGCAAAATTAGAAAGCTGCTCCGTACTACGAACGTAGCAATACGTTGCCGCACAATAGGAAAAAACTTTGGGTCCCACAAATAAAAAAATCTCTAATTATTTTTGAAATGCTATAACTTTTTTATCTATGCTCCGAAAGTTACAAAAATTATATAAGAATTTATAACTTTTTATTATCTTTCAAATGACATCAATATTGAATATATAAAAATAGGCACTTTAAAAAATAGATGGTATAGTTTTTTTGGATTATTAGCTAAATATATCTCCAAGACTCCAACTATCATCAAATTCACAAATCTATCAAATACTTTCATTTTTATTAACAAAAGATTTAAACTTCAATTTTTCTCACAATTACACTTTCAATGGATTATGATTTAAGAACAAAATCACATTCGTATTTCATAATTTTCAATAGTTTCTAGTTTCAAGTTTACAATTTTGTAATGCTTATATGTAATTGGTTTTGATAAAAATGTGTAATTTATAACAATCGGAGTACAAATAAAAAAGTTATTACATTTTTTTTTTAATTTATAACAAAATGTTACTAGAAAATCCCATTTAAAAAAAATGTTACTAGTATAATTTTTTTTATTTGTACTCCGATTGTTATAAAAAATGTATCAAAACAAATTTGTACTCAGAGTACAAAAAAGTACTCCGTATAAGATTAACAAAACAAATTTGTTTAAAGTGCTAAATTGTTTTTTTATTTTAACTTATGAAATATTAGAGTCATACGAAAGATAATAAAAAGTAATGAATTTTGATTTATTTTTAAACATAATCGGAATACAAATAAAAAAGTGTAACGTTTTAAAAAACAAAATATTTTTAAGGGGAAAATAATTAAAATACCACAAACTATAAAGGGGTATGAGATAAGCACCCCAAACTTGCATATGTAATTTATATAGAGATAATTACCCTATGTATGACTAAAACTCAATCAGTTTCTCAATCTATGACCTGACCAGTTTTTTCCCTAAAATAATATTAAAATTCGAAATATTTAATTAAATTTCGAAATAGTTAAATAATAAATAATTTTCAGGGACAAATATACCATTTAGTTATACCTATAAAACCCTAATCTCCTGCTCCTTTTTCTCCAACCCTTTCACGTATAACTTGTGCCACCCACCCCACGCAGCCGCCCCGTTGAGTCTCCGCCCGCCGTCTAGCCGCCGCCCACCATACAGCCCCGCCACCTTCCATAGATTCTAGCCTGGGAGCATAGCCGCCGCCTTCCAAAGATCAATCTCTCGCCTGGGAGCACAATCACCGGACCTGGGTGCCAAATCGTCATCCGACGTCGATGCGTCGTTCTCTATCGTTGAATTGGTGACTGGTAGCGACATGAAGGGCGGACTTATGATAGGATTGGAGCTCCAGTTCGTGTGTCAACAAAAACTTCGATCTTGGCAGCAAGCAGCGGCGTCCATGGTGCGGCGACTAATGGGAGGAGCTGGCTTGGGTGAGCTGATTTAAAATGCGATTTGGGGAATCTTGGAGTACGGCCAATTTCAGATCTGGGATATTGAAACTCTCGAGTCTCGACACTACAAGTCTGGAGGGGGGCCTTCACGATTTGTGGAATTTTGAATTTGATTTTTGTTTTTAGTATTTCTTTTCAATTTAAAATATTTAATTGCTCTGCTGTTCGCAATGTTTGTTGAATCACGGAGTACCTGCATTCTTCTTCTCATTTCTTGAATTTAGGATTTTTAGACATGGGTAAGGGTCTGTTTGCAACAACTTCTGCTTTTAAAAAAGTGCTTTTTTTAATGAAATGGAGAGAAGTGATTAAATAAAAGTTGATAGTGTTTGAGAAAAAAGTGATTTTGAAAAGTAAAAGTGAGTAGTGTTTGGTAAAATAAGTGCTTTTTGTGTAATAGAAAAAGTAAAAGCACTTTTGACGCGGAAGCCGAGAAAAATAAAAGTTGTAATGTTTGGGAAAATAAGTGCTTTTTTAAAGCCAAAAGCTGAGAAGTGCTTTTTTAAAAGTAGTTGCAAACCAACCCTAAGACACATTGGCAGTAAAAATGGGCATTAAATATGGGCATTGAATATGGTAATAAATAGTGATGAACATTGGCAATGAACATCAATATATAGGCAGTGTATGAAAGCATTTGAAAAAGTGTTGTGCAATTATTCGAATGCAATAGACATGCATCTTGTACAAAGCAATGAATGAAGGCATTGAGAAATTTTGTTGTGTAGTGATTATGATCTGTATTGCAGTAACACAGAGATGCAATATACTTAATTAGACGTAAAATAATAATATTATTAAATCTAAATAAACTACAAATGAATTCCTCAAGTGAATGAGAAGAGAACTAATGTTGGCGGAAGTGCAATGACAATTACCGCATGTGCAGTAAAGTCGTGCATCAACGACTATAAAAAATGCAGTAATTTTAACTGGACAAAATTAGTGCAAAATACACATATTTTAAATAAGGGCATTCTTGTCATTCAACCATTAAATATAAATGAATTTTCTTTTTTTTGTTGGATTTTCAGTCATACAAAAGTCTAAAAACTAGTTAGGTCATAGATTGAGGAACTCATTGAGTTTTAGTCATATCTTAGTAAATTTTCCAATTTATATACCCCAAACATTATATAAAATGTTATTTTAACATCATGGTCATGTATAAAATTCTTTCAAAAATGTAAATTTATGGTGTTAATGGCATAACTTAAAATATCAAATTGAAAACTTTGCAATTATATAGAGTGGGAGACTGGGAGTTAATACTACTCCCTCCATCCTGAAAAGGTTGACCAAAGTTGACTTTCACGTGGATTTATAAAGTAAAAATTGTGTGGTTGAAATTTGTGCAGAGGAGAAAGAATTAACTTTAGCCTATTCCTTACTTTAAATGGAAATGGCCAATCTTTTTGGGACATCCAAAAAAGAAATTTGGCCAACCTTTTCGGGACGGATGGAGTATTTATTTTACAATGGAAGTTTAGAATGTTAATTGTATCTTCATGAATGCTAAAATATTTTAAATTATGAAATTAACACCAAAAATTGACATCTAAGAAAACAATAATACATGACTAAGGTGATAAAATAAATATTTGTATACAGTTTGAGGTATGTAAATTACATATGCAAGTTTGAGGTGCTTACCTCACACCTTTTCAAAATTTGGGGTATTTTACTTATTTCCCCCTATTTTTAAAGTGTTAATTATTTTTAATTTTTATATATTCAATATTGGTGTCGTATGAAAGAGAATAAAAAGTTATAAATTTTGATATATATTTTATAATAATCCAATTATTAATAAAAAAGTTAGATCCGTTTTTAGAAAAATGAGGTTTTTCTTTATTTGGGTCCCACCATTGCATCTCCAACGTTATCCTGCGACCTATACACCGATCTTGGCAACCCGAATTAGACCACCCCAAGATTAGGGGTGGTTCGGTACGGTATACCGGATATTTTAGCTCATACCTTTACCATACCGTAAATTTTCGGTATGCAAAAATACATACCATTACCATACCGAAATTTCGGTATACCGAAATTTCGGTATACCGAAATTTCGGTACGGTAAGGTACGGTATCGGTAAATTATCATGATTTAACATAACAAATTATTGTATGTCAAATAAAATATAGAAAATATGTGTTAATAATGATATACTAAAATCATTAATGAAATTAATTGTAAATTACCAATGATAACATATTGGTGTTCTATTCAACTTTGAACAAAAAATATTATAAATATATTTAGATATTTCGACACATAATATATGAAGATAACATCACATTTTGCTAAAATAATTTAAACAACATAAATATAATTAAAAAACACCGCTTGCCAACAAAAGGTATAAATAATTCAAGAAACATGAATATTAAGTCATTTATCCTTGAATTAATGTTGTGTTTGTAGTTATTTTTATAATTTTAAAGAAATTATTGGCTTGGAATTAAGGTATGACGGTATACCGGTATACCGTTTATTTTCAAAATATATACCGATACCATACCAAAGTAATTCGGTACGGTATCATACCGTACCAAAAGTGTCGGTATACCAACCATTTCGGTAAATTCGGTACTTTTCGATATGGTAAGTCCGGTATACTGAAATTTCGGTATTTTTCCCCACCCCTACCCAAGATCAATTAGGTAAATACTTTTTTACTCCGTCCCGTAATTAAATTACAACTTTCCTTTTTGAGATGATCCATATTAGAGTTTCTACTTCAAACATTTCCTTATTTGGCTAATGATTTACACCAAAACAGTGCCAAACAGTGTTTAAACAGTGTCAAACAATGTTCAAATAGTGCACTCCACAGTAAAGTCAAATTTATTTCTCAATATATGTGAAGTCAAACTAGGAACTTAATTAAGAACCGGAGGGAGTATTTAGCATTAATTTGAGAAAAATCTCCTTTTCTGGATGTATTGGCTGAAGTTATTGTAGATGACCATTTTAGCTATTTTTACATATAATTTTTTCTTTATTTTATTAATAAAATATATTTTAAAAATAATTTTTTCTTAAATCAGCAGAATCAGCTAATGCAACCACTTCAGCCAGAATTTCATAAATTTCTGTAGAATCAGCCAAAACAGCCGATTATGGTGCTATCAAACGGACTCATAATTAATCAAAGTTAGATATTATTGTCTTGAAAAATCAAATTTGTCTTGCAAAAATGAGAAAGAGAGTACAATAAAATATTAAACAGTTTCCAAAAAATAGACACCATTGAATCGGAATATTAGTAAGGTTCTCAATATCTCTGACCCATAAATTTACCACCAACCATCTCCAGGCTTCTCCTAGGGCTAGACATCGGAACACAAAATATTTCTTCCTTTTCGTGCTTCTCTCACCAGAAAAATAAAATACAACAGAAATACACAAAAAAAGATACCCCTCGCAAAAGTTATTCAATTTTTCTGCTTTCCGCTTTCTTGCGCCTTTGAGGGTTATAAGCGAACAAAAACCTGGCTAAGAAGAGGTCAGATATCTCTTCGTGCGGTTCTAATTCATACTTGAGCATGAATTTTGTTACCTCTTTAACCGTTAATGAATTATTCCAAATTTGATGTGTATTAGCGGCATTCATGTTTGTATACGAATTTGTATTTTGTTGGACGAAGGTTAGATATGAATTCTTGCATACACGCATTAATTCACAACCGAATGAATATTTGATCTGCTTGTATCATTAGAATTTAGTTTTCCGATTCTATGTATTGCGGCAAATTAGATTCTTATAATTAGAGAGACGAGAGTATGTGAAATTTCAAGGTTGAGAACCTGAATTCCTTATCCGTGCACCCAACAGATTGTTTTTGGTTTCTTTATTTCACTATTAAGATGGTCTTATTTGGAAATGGTAGCCTTCATATGGTTTCATGGAATGTCATCTGACAGATCACATACTTTTCCATGTTTTATCAGGTTGAACTTTTTAATGCTCTTTGAGGATTGTATCATTAAAGCTAACAAAGATATTCGTCCAGTCTGGCCACTTTAACAACTTCCAACTTTTCTCACACCTCAAGGCAGGTGTGGGGTGAAAACGAAGGGGTGATACTGCTATGTGTTCTAAGGAGATCAAAATCGTCACATATTTGGAGATTGCGCCGTGTGTCTGAAGCATTATCTCATGATTACGGCTAAGATCAGCCTGAAATAAGAATATATAGTTGTTGGTTAAGCTGATTAGCCTTAATGTTAGATGATAAACAACTTTAAGTAATACTGAAAGTGAGCAGTTTTGATGTGAATTTTGGTTTGTCCTATCAGAATGGTTAGATTTTCCTGCTTCCATGCTCACATCCACTCCCATAAACAAAAGGTTTGAAGCTCAATTTTTTTTTTTGCCTTTTGGGGTTATGCATTCATTTGCTTATACTTGTTCCCTAACTGATATATCTCCATCAGAAAACAGTCCAAATGTCTGCTGAAGTAATACAGAAGAGGCTGGAAGGTCATTCTGAGAATCATTCCCTGAAGGATTTTAGTTATTGCGAAGCAACCAGTCCACTTCATTCAAAGAGCGTGAGCAATGTTTTGGATATTTACTCTGGCCATGTCATAGATTCTTCTTCTAATGGGCATGGTTGTAAATCTGAAGAGATCGAGGATGAGTACAAAAGTGAATGCAATGCAAGTGGTGATCACAACAAGACTGCTGATATTAAAAAATGTAGATCTTTAGGTAGTGGGTTGGGATGGGAAGGAAGGGCATATGATGACTATGATTCAGAGGATTGCAGTCACAGAAGATTTTCATTTGACAACTTTCAAGAGGTTCTTCAACCTTCATCTGTTCAAGTGAGTTCTGGCTCAGCAAACACTGAGTCTATATCTTTGGCCGGAGACCAAAAACAGTCTGAGAGAGAAGAAGACGACCACATGGCACATACGCCTTGCACTTCATTAACTGTTGTAAAATCAACTTCTTTGCCTAACATGCATTGCACTGGCCAGAGTTTCACTCCCCTAGTTCCTTCTCCCAGATCTGCTGAGGATTTGATTGTTCTAGAGACAAGAAAGGAGGTTATGATGGACAGAGAGATACATGTCAAGGATCATGAAGAAACAGAGGGCTATATTACAAACATCATGAACATAACTGGGGAAGACCGTGTTGGTGAAGTTTATGACAGTTATAACTATGCAGGGTCCGCAAAAGATTGGATTCTGCCTGCTTCAGAGAATATTAATGGAAAGTCATTGTTTTGCCAGTTAAACAAGTTACCAAGCAAAGATTTTAGGCTAAAGCGAATTGAGGACTGGGTTACAGATCTCCAGAAGTGTGGCCCTCCTGAAGAAGAAATGAATGAAATGAGCGCTCATGATAATGGTGATGAGAAGATACATAAGGAGAAAGTATTCAATGGCTCACCTTCGGTAAAGCTGGACGAGAAGGTCAATCCTGGCATGGAAGCAGTTAACAAATATATCTCTTCTTTGAGTGCTTCAGCGACATCCGTTCAACTTGTAAACCATGGTTTGGTTGCTATACCATTTCTCGGCACCTTTTTGGGCCTCAAAGCACTTAACTTATCTGGAAATGCCATAGGTTTGCACTTCATTACACTACTATTTTTTCCAAGAATATTTTTTTACTTATTGTACCACTGCAATTGTTCATGGTTGGTTTGTTGCTTTCTGCAGTAAAGGTAACTCCTGGAACTCTCCCTAGGGGGCTTCATATTTTGAATTTATCACGAAATAGTATCTCAACTGTTGAAGGATTACGAGAGCTCACTCGACTTCGTGTTCTTGACCTGAGCTATAACCGAATACAGAGAATTGGACACGGTATGGCTGCATTACAAAACATTTATGTTTATTATTACAATATTGACAAAACCAAGCAATTGCTGATGCTGGTCATTATTACTGATGGATACCGTAAGTGCATATATCCAATGGTTTAATGGTCATGAATAATTTCTTCTGTTATTCTGTGCATCAGTTTGAAACAGTTTTATAAAACAAGACTGTCGAATAACATTTACCTTTTTTATTAACATTACAACTGAATTGGTAGGAGAAACTAATTGGTGTGTTTTTAGGCCGGAATGTTTACTCCTTTCCTTTCTAATTCCAATAGCCAAAATATTCCTATGTTTTGTACACATGAGATTTTTTTATAAGAAAAACTTTTACTTCCGGTACAACAACACACAAGTCTTAGTCCCAGAAGAATTTGGGTCGGCTAACATATGTGTGCAAAATTTGGGGGGAAGTAAAAAAGAGCTTTTACTTTCTATACGGGAAAAAAAATCCTTATGTGTGCACCATTTGAATAAGTTTATTTGCAAATTGGCAGTAAAAACGGGATCCAATAGACAAAATAATTCATGTCTTGTGGTGGTCACGCTTTTACTCAAGGGGCTCTTTGTTGTCTTTGTACCTTTCTTCCGTGATTCTTCCAGTTTATTTTATTCCAATCAAGCAAACCACAGGGTTTGGAATCCTCATTATTCCACATATATTCTTCTCCAAGTGGATTTAAATTCATTCCTCCATCATTTCTGCTCATCAAGCAGCCCATGAATGGCTATTACGTTACAAATAACTTATCAGTTGTGGTTCACTTTAAATTGTATGTAGTGGAAAACATTTGGCATATTACAACTGGCATGTCCTTGACCAGCAGATATAAAATAGTGTTTGGTATTGGAAACAAACATTGACTAGTGAGCTTGAATGTTGCTAAATAGATTTATCTTGTACTCCGTATTACACATAATAGAGTAATTTTTAATAATTTACATATCATAATGATTTTTTCCTTCAGGTCTTGCTTATTGTTCCTCCCTACGAGAGTTATACATAGTGGGTAACAAAATTAGTGAGATCGAGGGTCTCCACCGCCTCCTCAAACTGAACGTTTTGGATTTGAGGTATAACAAAATATCCACACCCAAATCCCTGGGCCAACTCGCAGCTAATTACAGCTCGCTCCAAGCTATCTCTCTGGAAGGCAACCCTGCCCAGAAGAACGTTGGTCATGAACAACTGAAGAAACACCTGCAGAGTCTTGTCCCACACCTCACATACTATAACGGTCAACCCATCAAGATTGGAGCATCTAAGGACACATCAGACAGGTCTTGTCGGTTAGGGATTGGGTCCCACCAGGTAGACCGTGGCATTAAAGCAGAACTCAAAGTCGTGCGGAAGGGTTCCACTGGTGTCTCTTCTTCGTATAATAAAGCACCGTCTTCATCAATCCATGGCCGTAAGGCATCAAAAGGCAGACATGGACACTTGGTGGGCCCAAGTGTTGCCCGAAGAAGCACACATCAGCCTCACACCGGTGACCCCAAGAACAGGCTTATTATGAGCTTCGGGCCTGATTCCTCTATGCGAAGGAGCCACAGTGAGGGAAATCTTGGTCCTTCCTGAGGTTATTACTATTAGTGGTGGATTATGTGTTCTGAAAACAATGTTTGGTTGTCTACTCTTCTTTGGTTTTGCTCGTGTTACTTTCTGGTATTGGAATTGTCAATAAAGAGCGGTTTCCATGATTTTATTATACTTGCTATTTCAGTATTTTGCATTCCTCAATGCTCTATGAAGCATACACATCAATACATGCATCCCTGATGTACTTAAACGACCTCGGTGAAATGTCCTCAGGCTCAATATTTTAGTTAAAGCCTTAAAGGCTAACCCAACTGTTGAGGTTAGCCTGTTGTATTCATTGTTTCGAAAGCATGGGCCCCGAATAAGTTAGCTGTGTCTCAATACATTTGAACAGGCCCGTGTGTTGTGTAGTAGGGCAACCCTTGGCAGGAACAGAAGGATTTGAAAATCAGAAGGAAATGTTAGATGTTTAGTACTATGATCATATATGTGAGCTATTGTTCTACCACGTGAGTTGCATGAGAATGTAGCGGCCAAAAGAATTGCTGATTTTATAGGTAAATACAGATAACAATACAGAGTTTTTTTAATATGTTATAACAATAGCTATAACCCAGAATTACAATTGTTATAACTTATAAAGTTCCATTTATGATTGATCTAACGTTCAAAGCAGAAGTACTCTACTACTCACTCTGGCCTCAATCATAGTTAAATTTCAACCTATATTGGTTCGATCATCTGAAGATCATGCCAAACAATTTTTAACGCAAAATAGATACCATCTTTCCCAACTCTTCCCTCTAATTTTTAATAATTCTCATTGTATGGCTAACAATTCAAAACAGTATCATTGAACCAATGTAGAAAGTGTAATCAGATCATGATCGACATGTTTAATTATTTTTTTAAATAAATATATCTCTAAACTAATTATTTTATATACACACCGACATTTAATCTCAGATGTTCTTTTTTAAATATTACTGACATAAAATTAATAGATGGAAATAAGATTAAAATTGCATTGAGTATCATCATGATCACAATAGTGTGCCGCCGTGAAGCCTTGGTCCTGCTCAAATCCAACCTTCTGACTTCACAATCACCTTTACGAATTCAGCTTTCAGCCCTTTCAAGATTCAAGGTTTATCCTCTTCTTTATTAATGAAGCCGTTATGGTAGAGTTTGTTTTCTTCGTCCGCCAATTAGTTAGTGCGGAGCTTTGATTTGTTCCTCTTCGGTTGAGTTTGAATTGACTCTTTCCGGCCGCCGATTCAATTAGTGCAAAGCTCGATCAGATTTTTTCTTGCTTCCGGGTTTAATTTTCCCTTTTGAGAGCACAAGGATTGTAGTGTTGGTGTCACTCAGTGTTCTCATGGAGTCGAAATTTGATTGATTTTGTGTTTTGCTTTGGTAATTTGATTGATTTTGTGTTTTGCTTTGGTAACAACTGTTGTGATTCGAAGAAAAGGCTACGTGACTACAATAGGCAGATTAATGGAATGACAGAGAATGTTCTGAATAAGGAGCAAGGAGAGAAGAATATGCACCCTCCCGAACCGCCGTCGTGGAGGAATGGTGTAGTTAGCGTTTGGAAGATGCTGTTTCAAGTTCGGATTCGGGCATACGTAGTTGTACGCCAACAACGGTTATACCCCAGCGAGTACATGTTGTTTTGGTTGTTTTTTTTGTATTTCTACTAGCAGAACTCTAGAGTTTATGATGAGTGATGAAAGGTCTATTGCGTTTGTCATTAGCTCAATTAAGGCCATTACAGTATCAACGAGTCATATTACTTTTGTAGAGATGACAGACTCTGAGTCTGGTTCGAGGGCAGATGGTAAGAAAAATGATTTTTTGTCTTTTTGTATCTTGCTATTCAATATAAGTCACTCTCTTCCAAAAAAAATCATAATCATCATAGTGTAAACTTAAACATAACCATGATCGTCCGATGATAATCACTAAAATATAAAAAAAGTCACATTTTCACACTACTTTGTTTTAGTCAAATATTCATTTTTATTCAACATTACAAATTTACAATATAAAGTATCCTTCATAACTTTTAATTCATCTTCACGTACTGCAACGTAACAAGCCAACAACATTGCCTAAGTGATTTTTAATGACATAAAACAATATTTGTCAAGTTTTATCCCGCATTCCCTCATTTTGGTCCTTTAATTTAAATACTGTTCATTCACATTCAATATTGTTTTTGGGCTTGCATTCTTGGAAATTGACGGATTTTGGTCGAATTTATTGAAAATCTGCCCCATTAATCAGAACCGTATTTGATTATGATGACCAAAAAATTATTTAACAAAAAATATGAAACTATATGTGCTAAAATCTAAATCGATCATTTGTATGAGATCTAAACTTTTACTAATAAGTTAAAGATGAACATATATTTTTAGTTGAAATATGGAAATTATTGTGTTACGAAATACGATGTTTTCCTATTCATGCAATATTTACTTATACGTGTAATCCAATTTAATTCTTTTAGTTATACTCCGTAGCAAATTTAAACCTATGCATTACAAGAAGACTCATGTTAGGGAGTGTTTGCAACTGCTTCTGCTTAAAAAAAATCACTTTTGGAGATGTAATGAAAAAGTGATTAGTAGTAAAAGTTGATAGTGTTTGAAAAAAAAGTGATTGTGAAAAGTAAAAGTTGATAGTGTTTGGTAAAATAAGTGTTTTTTGTGTAATAGAAAAGGGAAAAACACTTTTCACACGCAAGTCGAGAAAAAGTAAAAATTGGAAGTGTTTGGTAAATAAGTGTTTTTTAAGCCAAAAACTGAGAAGTGTTTTTTTTAAGCTGTTGCAAACACTCCTTAACATTAGTATGTTACCAGAATAGGGCTGTTGGGGTCGGGACACACCCTATCTTTAAAAATTTATCAAAATTATTGTTGTAGACACCGCTAAAAACACTAAGGCAAACTAAAAATTCATACAAGAGAAATGGTGCTAAATAGGACCACAAGTTTCGGTATATACTTAAATAGGACGTTGACTTTTTTAACTCTTAAATAGGACTAAATTTTCCGATGTTCCAAATTTGCCCATTCTATTCGTTTCTTTCCAGACTCCTCGACACCAGGCGCCTATCGGATCTTTCTGCACCCAACTCTTCGTGAAAAGCAAATGTTGAAAAACTGAGATGAAATCTGAAGAGAAGATGTCGGCGAGGAGGAGATGCAGGGAACCGCCAGTGAAGGTGTCGCCGATCAGATCTGACTTCTTCGTTTTCTTCTCTTTTCTCCTCTCCTCTTTTCTTTCCGATGAATCTGGGGAGATGAAGAAAACCATCGCCAAGAAGATGCAGGGGAAGAAGATCCAGGCTGTAGGGAAGCGCCGATGAAGGTGTCACATGTCTGTCTTCCTCTTTTTGTTCTCCTCCTCCTCCTCCTCCTCCTCCTCCTCCTCCTCCTCCTCCTCCTCTCCTCTCCTCTTTTCTTTCATCGCTCGATTGCCGGTCATTTTTTGTTTCTGATTTCTTCCGTTAGCATTTGAGATGCAAATTTTGCCTATTCCAATCAATTGGTGCACAGACTGACAAAACTTGTCTGTTCCAATCAATTGGTGCACACAATTGATTACATCAATGATTTTTTATTACATCAATGATTTTTTCCCAAAATAAATAAATAAATCATTTCCAAATATTAATTTTGATATATGCATTTGCAATATCGAAAGAGAAGGAAAAAATAGTACTTTGTACATACGAACAAACTCAAAGCAGAGAAATAAGGAATGTATTTTATTGTTATTGACATTTGTATGACATTGTCATTGACATTGCTATTGACATTTTTATGACATTGTTACTGACATTCTTATGACATTATCATTGACATTATTTTTTATTGACATTCTTATGACATTGTCATTAACATTCTTATGACATTGTCATTGACATTCTTATAACATTTTCATCATTACAATGTCATACCATGTAATATTGACATTGTGTCACTTTTCAAAATGGTGACATTTTTTCTATATTTTGACAACATTTACAATACTATGCATGGTTTATTTTAAAGTATTTATAATGAAAAGATAATGTAAAATGTGAATGTTTAAAAGATTGTTATACTCATATAATATTGATATTATTTCTGACATTACAATATTCTAAAAAACATGATATTGATTATGACATTGTCATATTTTTTTATTTTGAGTGTCAGGGTTAACTAGCAAAACCATTGTAGGACCAATTAATTCAATGTAAACATCTCCAAAATATGAGAAACCAAACCAACGGCTATGGTGCATCTTCAATCTCTCCCCCTCCCCCAAATCACATATGCAGTAATTAACTAGCAGCTAGCAACAACATCTGGGTCACCTCCTTATAGACAACCGACGGTCCGCCACCCTCTCTTCCCTGTAATCTCATTTGTTATGGGGTTGACAAGTCAGTGAATATGAAACAATACGATATAAAACTTGACCAACTAATACGGAGTATTAAACTTCGCCAATTGAAACAATCAAAGGCCAGGTCATATTCTTGAGATTCAACATGGATTCCGATGGAGCTTGACGGCGGTAATGTTGGCAGCTTTGCTCCACTGCTTAGGGCTCAAGCAGGGCTAGATGGACGCCAACAGGAATAGAGCTGTCGATTTCGGCGAGCCGGCGAAGGTTGGTTGCTACGATTCCGTCAATTGCTACCGAATGGGTTGGTTGGGAGTTAAAAAACTGGGACTCCTATTTAAGTTCCCTTCTGAGTTTTAGTCTTATTTGAGTCTTTCTCCCTTCATACAACGCGTGGTGGAATCAATCCCTCTTCTGATGAATGAACTTGCGACCACTAAAGTACTAAAAATTATGAGTAGAACAAGGGTGTCAAACTTTATGCGCTCTCTTATGATCCAGTTGAATATTATTACTTTGATATGAACGTGTAGATTTTGGTGTTGAAAAAGTTGCTAGAAAGACACTTCCTTGTAAAGATTTTTTTTAAACATAAGCATACATGTGTTCTGTATAAGTAGAAGAGTCTTTTTCTAGTATTTGCATTAAAATGAAGCATTGCAAATTGCAAAATCTTGCATTATAAGAACTACAT